TTGCGAAGGTGCCAGCCCCCTGCAGAGCTGGACGTGTCCCATCACCCACAGGCCTTCTCCACACAGAGGCAATTCCCAGGCTGTGACCTCCTCCACGACACTTCCCCAGCCCTGCACCTTGCTCTCCCTCCGCAAAGCCGGATCCGTTTTGTCTTTCCTAAGCACACTCGCATTTTTCCCCTGCATTAGCAGAGCAGGTTGCATGAACAAGAGGTGCCCTGGGCCCAGGCACCGGGCTCGTCACACAGCGCTTGTGCCGTTCCCACCCACGGAGTATTAAGCATGAACTCTGCAACCCAAACGAGCCCTCAAACTCTGGGACCAAAACATGGGTAAAAATACAAAAGACAGCAAAATGCAAAATGTGGAAACATGAGAGAAGCCAGCTGGGGAGATGGGTCTGTCCCAGCAAAGGCTCCATGGTGCGTGCCAGCACAGGCTGTAATTTTGGAGCTGAGACAAGATGTACATAGACAGGGGTGAGAGCAGCAAAAAGTATTCAAGTGAAGCCTTTCCCACAGAAAATTAGTTTCCATTAAAAGCATGTTTTCACCAAAAGTCACTGATTTCTATCCCCAGACGACGATGATTCACCAAAACAAAGCTGAATGCTCAAAAGCAGTATAATCCACAAAAATGGAAAGCTCTTGATTTGGGAGATGCTGGGGGGGGGGGGAGTGGCTTTTTTTCTGATGCTCCATGGATGCCAGGTCCTTGCTCGCCATGACACCCTTGTCCCCTGGCAGGCGGCAGGTGCCCTATGGTGCAGCAGGACCCACGCTACGTGGCAGCCAAGAAGAACAAGCCCGTCCACTTCATCTGCTACTCCCGGGAGCCCGATAGCATGCAGTGGTACAAAACAACAGAGAACAGTGATGACCTCTACGAGCTGGATCATAACACCTCCCGCTATAGCATCGAGAGGCAAGACAACTTCATCAGGTTCACCATCTTCAGGATCACCTACGAGGACAACGGCATCTATGTGTGTGACAGCAAGAACCTCACTGCAGAGAAGAAGCGGCCGCACTTGTGCGGGACAGAGCTCAGAGTCATGGGTGAGTGGGAGCTCCCATCCTCCGTGCCCCCCAGGAGATGCTCTTTCTCCTTCTCTCACCCTTTCCCACTCCATATGAACCCCACACCATGCTCCTATTGACCCACCTCTCCCCATGCTGGTGGATCTCTTCAGATACTCCATGGCACCACAGAGGTTTCTTTCCTCGCTGCCAGCCACCAAGCAGCAGGACAACCTCCCCGGGTTTGCCCTGGCACACCCATCCCACAGAAACACATCCCAGCGACTGCATTCCCCTAATAAATCAGATTTTTCCTGGTCCTGGCTAGTGGTGGGTCCTGCCCAAGGTGTCTCATCCAGGAGCTGGTCCCTGATGCCAATCCTGGAGGCAGTTTGCAAAGCTCTGGTCTCTCCCAAGGGGGAGGGCATGTCACCCTGGTCTCCCCCACCTGCTCTTGCTGACATATGAACCTGCGGCCATGCCAAGCTCATCCCCATTCCCCGGGAGCCTGGCACAGAGGTGGGACTTGGGGCTTTCCCTGTGCTGCTGCTCCCAGGTCACAGTAGCATCCAGCAGCTCCAGAGCAGGAACACGCTGAAAGATGCCATCATCATCATCCAGTCCATCCTGCTTGTCATCTTCATCAGCGTCCCCATGCTCCTGTTCCTAGATAAAGTAAGTGACGGTGTTTCCAGCAGTGGGGATGTCCCCAGCTTCTCTCCTGTGGTGCTCACAGTGGTGTCCTGCATCTCAGGCAGGACACCACTAGGGATGGGGATGGGCAGGCTCTGGGTTTGGGGCTGTTGCACGGGAGCATGGCTAGCTGAAGTAGGAAAATAAGTAACTAAAACAGTGTGTGGGACTGCATGGATCTGCCTGTGGAAGCACTGGGACCTGGCCTGGGGGGACAAGGCCAGGGACAGGGGATGGGGGGGTCCTGGTGGGTGCTGACACCCAATCTGTGACTCTCCTCTCCATAGGGTGAAGGCAAGGAAATCCCGGAGGAGGACCATACCTACGAGGTAATGCTGCATTAATTATAGAAGTACCTCTGTAATATCAACCTGAGCCTTGATATAGCTGGCTGTGCTCTTGCTGGTGTCTGCTAGGTGCCACCAGCCCTTGCAGGGCCCATCAGGGCATCTTCTTCCCAAGTGCCTGTTGTACATCAACCATAAAGAGCTGCTCACAAAACCTCGCCAAGCTCTGAGCACATCCAGCCATCTATCTCCATCTTCTCCCCTCTCAGAAGCTGCCCCAATCTCTAGGGGAATAGCCTGGAGATGAGTCCTCACTTGGGGGTCCCAAGGGGGGATGTGCTGGGTTCCGCTTCCATGTCTCAACCTCCTTCTTCTTGGTCTAGGGCCTGGAGGTGGAGCAGATGGCCACCTACGAGGACATCACTCCTTTCCGGGACGTGAAGGCCAAGTGGACAGTTGGGGAGCACCCAGGCGAAGAGTGAGGGGTCCTGCGCCCACTGCCAGGCTGGCAGTGGCGGCACAGCTCTCTGCCAGGACCCTGCAGACACCCGCAGGGACGGGCACGCAGCTCCTGCCCTGGACCGTGGCTCTGATGTGCACCTGGATTCTGGGCTGCAAACCATCTCCAGCAGCTTCGCACAGAGCTTGAGTCCTGCTGCCCTTGGGTGCTCACTTTGCCGCGTCCAGGCTGTGCCCACCAAGGCTGCCCTGCCCTGGCTGTCCCTCTCACCGCCCCGCTGATGAACCCCTAAAGTCTATGTAGAAATTAGGAGCCACGTGCAGTCCCCCCACTAGCAAACTGGCCCCAAACTCTGGGCAGCCCCACACCACAGCGCTGAGCTCCTGTATGGTTAATGCAATGGAAGGACCAGGGTGGGTGGTGGATCTCGTCCAGCCCCACCATCCCTGGGAAGAAGAGGACCAGGCATGATCACTCTCCGTGCTGTAACGACCCTCCAGGGCTGTGAGATCCCACTGCAGCCCTGGCAGAGGAGCCAAGGTAAGCAGCACCGTGTGGGTGTTATGAGAAGCAGATTTTGGGCCACTCTTTAGCTCTCAAGCCATGGCTGTGTCCAGCAGGCCAAGCTGGCAGTTGTCTGAGATGGAGGATCCTCCAAAAGCACCTCTTCCTCCCCAAAGACTACAGTAAAAGCTGGGGAGGCAAGTCTCACCCAGAGGGTCTTGTGCAAGCCTTGCTCCTCTCCAGGCAAGAGCTGACCTGTGTCACGAGGACATCCCTGTGGCGAGGAGCATGTCCGACCTCAGAACCTACAGGAAAGATGTAAATTGTGAGACACAAATGTCCAACTGCTTTTTCAAGTCCTAATAAAGGTAACGGGTAAATTCACATCCTGCTCCATCCTGCTGTGCCCAATCCAAGGGTATCCCATAACCCTGGTGCCAGCGTCGGTGGGACTCCCTGGGAATAAGGAGCAGCTTTTCATGGGTCCAGCTTAGCTAGAAACCAAACTGCACCTCGTCAGGGCCCTGAGCACAGGCAGGGACGTAAAGCCGAGAGCAGCCATGGGGCTCTCCTGGAAGCTCTCGCTGAGCACGAACAGGGGGACCTCCACGGTCCCAAGACGTCAGCTTGGGATGAAAGACAAAGACCATTGCCAGGAACCGAAGCAGGAGAACAGGGCTCGGGGCCAGGAGCTCTGCTCCCGGCTACATCTGGTCTCACAAGAGATGCTAAAAAACATCTGGAGAGGAGCAGAGCGGCGCTAATTGGGTTTGTTAATAAAAACTCTTTTGGCACGGCAGCGCCAGCTGTGTGGGTGATGGGGCTCGGGTGACGAGGACTGTGGGGCTGGAAGGTTGTCCCTCTTGGAGAGCACAGGGCCCCTGCGGCTCACGAAATTTCGGGCCCCGAGGAGAGGAAGACAGGACCGCTCCGCTTCCCGAAACAGCCAGCAGAAAAGGGAGGGTAAAATTGTGAGCAAAGAAGGCTTTTCAGCAGGGAACAGGATGGTTCTTGTTTACCAGCAAACCACCTTCACGGAAAACGGGTATTCAAGCTAAATAGCACAAAACCAGCATTTTAAGGTTGATTTTTTTACTAGTTAAATAAAACTATCCCAAATTAGGTGCATGCATATGTATGTAAATGTTACTTAAACATGTTCTACTGATAAAACTGATTAATTAAGGAAAGGAGTATTCACAGCGAGAGAAGTGAACTGGCCGTTCCCAGTTCCCGCGTTTGCCGAGGTTTTAGGGCTAGCAGAGCTCATCCCTCCACCCCTTGCTTTCAGTTACGAGATGGAAGAGGAAGGCAAGATTTCTGGCCTTCCCAGCTCCCAACCACTTTCTCGGCTCTGCATAAACTCGCTCATCTGACTTAGCCAAATCATACAAAAATAAAGAGAATCTGCTGTTTGCACCTGGAGAGGAAGACATCGATGTCAAAGGCAGTTTCAGCAACCCCGGTTCCTCTCTGCCGTTTGGTCACCCTCTTAGCCCAGGGCTTTGGCTTCCTTTAAAATGCCAGAAGCAACTGAATATTTCCGAAATTTCTGAAATTCTGTTTTATTTTAAATGCTTAGACTAGTTTCTAGGGAGCCTAGAGATAGGGTGTGTTGTAATTTTACATTGAGATAGGTTTGTATTTAAAATGCATTTCATGTAAATAAAGATACTTCAGTCCAGGCTCTGTATTTTGTCCTGATTTGTGTCCCTACCATCAGCAGGATGGCCAGGCAGACAGACCGGGTTGCAGTCCTGGACCTCTTCAGCCTCATTATCAGGAATAGGTTCAGTGAAACTGAGTAAATAAATTTTATTTACTGAGTTCCAGTAAATAAAACCCAACAATTCAATCTGAAAAGGGAGTATTCACCCTCCGAGCAGCGAGCTAGCAGAGGTAGTCAACCGTCACTGAAAACCTCCGTCAACCATGTCGTTGCCCACCGAAGTGCAGAGCCTGGGCTGTGGGCCAGCAGCTGGCTCCTGGGTCAGGATTCACTGGCTGCAGCTCACCCATCAGGCTGGGAAGGTCCTCTCCACACAACCACCCCACGCTGCGGGGTCACGAGGACCCAGGGAGGGTACGTGCCTGCAAGGAAAGTTGCTTCACTTGTTTAGATGCTGCTGGTGATGCTCAGGGTAAGGCAAGTGGACACAGGACCACCCTGAAGAGAACTGAGGGTTCTTTCTCTTTCAAAAAAAGAAAAGGAACTTGGAAATTACAGACTGTCACGCTGCTTTATGAGATGTTCCTTTGAGTCGCAAACGCAGGCATCTGAAAGCCAGAAAAATGCCAACCTGATATTTGAGAGTGGCTTATGCAACTGTAGCTCTGCCAGTGGCATGTGTTTGCCCAGCCCAGCGCTCCACAGTCACGCACTCCCTTCTCCACCACGCTCCCGCCTCATTTAACGCCCAGAGATGATCGGGGACAAACCGAGCCTCAGGGGCACCGCACAGTCTGGATCATCCTGGCATCTCCGTGCTTAGCTGCGACAGAAAGAAACGATGATTCAGCACCGTGCTTTTACTAACGGAGCTGGAGAGGCAGCAGGGCAGCAGGACTCGGGTGCAAGGTGCTGTACCGATCTAGCTGCAGTGGTTAAGAATCATCACTAACAGGCAGCAGAGCTTGGGCTGGGCTGGGGTGCCTGCTGCTCTGCTCAGCTCTGGCAAATATTGACATATTTAAACACGATCTGGAGCAGAAAAACACACCCAGATGTTGCTGGCTATTGGGTGACGGGATACCTGATAGCTGCAGGACCCACTGTTCCCTCTTCTCTAGGGACTGACATTTATCCTGCGACACCACCCCAGCTCCGGCGAGCAAACACCCGGGGGCTTCTCGGAACAGACCGCGCTCCCCCCGCGTGTTTATTAACCAGCTCTTGCACCCGCTGCTCCAGCCGCCCCGGCGGTGACGCCGCCTCTCGGGAACACGAGCCACGCTGGGGCGGGCACCGCAAACCCAGGGCCCAGGGGAGCCAAATCACCACCCCTGAGCAGGGAGCAGTCCCTGAGCCCTGGGCAGAGGGCCGAAACAGGGTGGTTTGGGGCAACTGGTGCCTTATGGGGAGTGAAAGGCCTTTAAGCCCCTCCGGAGTTGCCCATCTCAGGTTCTGTCTTGTTTTGCTCAAAAGCAGGGATAGGTGTGCTGTAACCTCTCCTCTTCCCCACCTCCCTTCCCCATCTCCTCTGTCTCCTTTCCACACCAGCCCTCTGCTTAATCCTGAGATATTTCACATTTGCATCTCAGGCAAGAGCAGGAAGATGCTCGTATCCAGATCTTGTCGCAGCCTTGTCCAGCTGAGGATGTGAGAAACCTCCCAGAGCTCTGGCACCTGGATTTGCAGCGGGCAGGCTGGTACCCCAACAAGCACTTGGGTATGACAGCTCTTTGGCACACCTACGGCAAACCAGCTCACCAAAACTGTTTGCTGAAATTTTGAAATTTTGGTAGAAATTGAAAGAAATTACTTGGCAGAAACAGGATTCACCTGACAACATCCATCCAGTTCTATCCCCGCTAACAATAAAGGGGAAAACATCCGCCTTGCTTTAAGCCAGAAGTCTCCCAAACTGGCCAGTGCCCTGTTAACTGTGGGCCAAGGCTGCAGAGCCAGGCAGGACGACCAGGTGAACGTGGCAAATCCCACCGTGTAGAAGCACCGACCTGATTTGAGATGGGTCTTCCAACGATCGAGCAACTTTTATTTGCAATAAACAGCAGAATATGGCGAAATCATTCAGCACCGATTTCACCCCGGGGCAACCAACCTCCCCAACCTTTACATCTATGTATAAATGACTACAATTAGGTAGCACCATTGCGAACACTCGTCCATTTATGCAAACAGAAGATACAGAGATGTTGTTGTGATCATGAACACACATATACATTTTAAACAGACCCCCTGCTATATAAGGGGTGGCTCAACAGTCACCTTTACCTGGATGAAAGGAGGAGACATTCACTGTCGAGCAACACCTGAGCAACTCCCCGGGCAGAAATGGCTCCAGGTACTTTTCTTTTATTTCAGTTTTAAAGGACTGTCAGTGCTGCCACACGCTCAGGGTGATGGGAGGTGATGATGGGGTGGCGCTGGGCTGGGCTGTGCGCGCTCAGTGCCAGCCCTAAATTAAAATGTGGCAACTTATAATTCAATGAAGAAGAGT